CGTCGTCGTAAGCAAGGCTTTGACTGTGTTGTTACTACCGCAGGCGGCTGAGGGTCGGGCGCGGCGGGGCGGCGGTGGGGAAGGGGCGCTACCGGTGACCGTAATGACTCAAAAATTGTTATAATATAGGTGGCGTGCACGAGGAACGGTCCCCGGCCCCGGCCCGGCCCCGCGCCTGGCCCCGGCGTGCTGCAGCGGGCCGCGGGCCGCGCGGCGGTGCGTGGCGGGTGGAATGTCCCGCTCGCGTGCTGCCCGCGGCCATCTCCCTCGCGCCCGTGCTGCGGCCGGGACGACAAGGACGGAGCAAGAGGCCGGCGCGGACGCGGGGGCTCGGCGGGGCCCTTCCGCGAAACGCAGTCAAAGTCCTGCTGTGCCGCGAACGTCCGTCCCTGTTTGTGACTGCACTAGAGTCGCGCCCCACAAAGCACCAAACTCGTTTTCGTAGTGATATTGGAACACTTGCGGGCGGGCCACCACTCGAGGTGGGTTCGGGTTGGGGAACCCCATTTTGATTTTATACTAAATAACAGTGATGGTACAAAATCTCGTCAAAGGTGGTCCATAAGCCAGGGGCGACCTGTTAGCTCAAATTCACTATTCTTTTCCGAAAAGTGAGAGCTTGAGTTAGTTAGAGGTTAATTTGGAGCTGTGTGCTATCAAACAGTAGAACATTTTATTTGTATTGCATAACACGTACATGTACATCCCCGCGGAAACGTATCATTCAGATTTTTGATTCGGTTGTGCCCCCAGCGGGCCCGCCAGGCCGGGCGGCCGCAAGGTGGCGCAGCTCTACGGCTGGCTGGCTCCGGCAGGGAATCTACCCCACGCTCAAGCTGAGCGCTGGCAGCACGGAGTATGGATCCAGCAACAGGTGACGGTGGGTGGAGAGAGGCCTCCCCCTCTTCCCCCTCTTCCCAACCTACTGCCACCACACCACACCACCACTGCTACCGCAGCTACCACACGCTGCACGCCTAGAAGTGCCAGTTTTGCCATTGAAGAGGTCCCGGGTTCCGAAGATCACAAAATGTGCATTCGGAATCTCGCAGAACGGCGACTTTATGTAAGTAGCGTGTAATGCCAGTACTAGTATCCTGCCTTTAACTTTTTGTGGTACGATTGCTAGTTTACCGCATTTTCAGTTTTGGCCTCTGTATCGTCGAGTACCCCTACGACCCACATACCAAAATACGTACTCAGGCTTCTGTTGAAATGGATGTTATTACCCGTGTACGCATAACCCTCCAAATGTACTCGATGATGTTTGCCACTATACCCATAACCTCAAAAATATTATTACTTCAGCAGATTGTGCGATAAGTCACTATTCGTATTTTGAAAGATAATTCAATGTTCAATGAAAGGAAGAAAGCATACATTATCGGGACAGACTCGCTGCGGAAATGTGAACATCACTTACACTGCTGTAAAATCATGTAAAATGTTGAAATATCGAACACAAGAAATCGGTTCATACCCACACGAAGTGTGGCACACTGGGATGTCGTGTATGAAATAGCGATGTGGACCTGAAACTTTTGCTAACCAGAAATATAAATAAGATTCAACACCCACAGCACAGCACAGCGCAGATAGACCGCCCAACAAAAACAGTGTCATTGTTTACTCTGCAAGGTTGCTATGTTGGCCAGACTGGCAGCGGCACTGCGGTGCTCCCCCCAGGAAATCCTACCCCGGGACAAGCTCCTCCTCCTGACCTAGTCCACCACCGATCCATGTGATCGGGAGAGGGCAACGCGAACCATGGCGGCCGAGCGGCGCGCGCTGGAGGAGGTGATGGCGCTCCCCGGCCGCTGGGTGGAGGCGCCAGCCAGCATCCGCATCCGCCGCGCCCTGGAGGACAACAAGGCCGTCCTCTCCTGGCTGCGGGACGCGTCGAGCAGGCCCACGCCCAAGGCCACGCCCAAGGCCACGCCCAAGGCCACGCCGAGGCACACGACGCCCAGGCCGCAGGCCTCGCCGGCCGCACCGGCCCCGCCGCCCGTGGTATTGTCCCGTGAGTGTCACGTCCTCGTCCGGCGCCAGGACGCACAATCCCGGGACTCACGCCCTGGTCGTCTTCGCCGTGCAGTGCAGCTGGTGCGAGCGGGGGCGAGTCCGGGGAGGCGCCGGAAGCGCGCCCGAGCAGGTCATGCGGGTCGTGACCACGGCGGTGTCGAGGCCGAGGGCAAGCAGGGCAAGGTCCGCAGTGCGGCCACCATGACCAGGTGAGCTGAGGTAAGTGCGACACGCTGTTCTCGATGTCCTCGGTGTTTTAACGCTTCTCTGCCTCTGACACTCACGACGCCCTCTCTCTCAGTGCTCGCAGAACGGGAACCACCGCCGTCTCCGTGCCGACCGCGCGGGCCACCAACACCTCGAAGACAGCCTCGGCAGACACCGTGGCCGCCGCCGTGTCCATCTCCAGCATCTCCGTCACGCGAACGGCCTCCACCATGAGCGGCGAGAGCAAAGCCAAGAAACAGCGCGGCAACGACGCGACGAAGTCCAAGACGGTGCGCCCCGACGCCATTCGCCCAAGTCTCGTCGCCGAGCCGTGTCCGCAGGAGGGCAGGCACGGTCAGCAGGGTGTCCTCCTCGCGCGGGCCAAGCGCCCGCGTCCACGCGGCTCAGCGACCTCGGCGAGGACGGCGAAGGCGGTCGTCCGCACCTCGAACCAAGGGGCCGTAAGGGTGGCGAGCGCTACCCCCGGCGCCTCCAGCCGGTGAGTATCGCCCCTCGGCCTGTGCCCCCCTAGTGTCCCTGCCTGATAGGGGTGTGTCCGCCCCACAGCGGCGCCCCCACCCCCACCCCCGCGGGGCCCTCGAGCGCGGCGGCTCTCCGTGGCAGCGCGGTGGGGGCGGGGGTGTCCCTCACCAGCCTCAACCCTCCGCCACCGCCCACCTCCCCGCGCCGCGGCCGCGTCATCGCAGAGTGAGTGAATAGGCACCGGGGCCAAGAGTATGGCACCGTGCAGGTGAACCTGCTCCCAGAGCAGACTCATGGTCTACTCTTTGTACTAGTTTGTGACGTTGGCCAAAGACCTGCGCCTGCGCTGCTGCTCCGAGTGCCGAAAACTCCTTCGGGCGCTATATATCCTCGCCGAGGGCGGTGCAGCTTGAGACAAAATGAAGTGCCGCAACGTCGTCGGTCACGACTTGTTTCTCGGGAGAGAGAGAGAACTCGTCGCGCCGACCTCTTTTCCGTCACGTCCGACACGCTTGTTTGCAGTCCCCAGGCGGTCGGGTTCGATCTGCAGTCCGCATTCGAGGCGATGCTGCGCCGACACCGGCTGGACAGCGCGGCCAGACAGGCCCAGCCCCAGGCGCAGCCCCAGGGCCTGACCGTCGAGCCCCCGCCCCAGCCACCCCAGCCGCCCCAGCCCCACCACGTCCACTGGGACTGCTGCGGGAGCTGCGGCGGCTGCGGTTGCAGCAGCTGTAGCTGGGCCGGCGTGGCGGTGGCGGTTGCATCCTGCACTGCTGGTGGCTGCCACTGCCGCGGCGGCTGCGGCAGCTGCGGCGTCCCCAGCGGCGCCGCGACGTCCAGCATGACGCATCGGCCGGCCCAAAGCGCCAGGATCGCAGCGGAACCACCCCGAGCCGTCCCGCAGCCCGCAGGGACACCCGCAGGGGCACTCGCAGGGATGCCGGCGGGGACACCCGCAGGGTCATTCTCAGGGACCCCCGCGGGGACACCCAGGGGGACGTCCGCAGAGACCGTCACGGCCAGCAATGTGAGTAAGCTGACCGGAGGGAATGGCAGCCGAGCGGGTCGGATTATCGCACCATTCCGTGTGCGGAATGGTATATTTCACCCCATGAAAATTTAATCTAATCTACGGTTGTATAGGAATTGCGATTTGTCATGTGTCAGGCTGACGGCGAGCAGGGGCCGGAGACCAGCCCGTCCGCCACCTCCGCCCGCGGCGCTCCCCCGCCCCCGCCCCGAGATGCCGAGCACGTGATGTGTCTGGGAGACGGCTCGGCCGCAACCACGGCCCCGCCAGACAAGCACGACTCTGGGGACGACGCGGACCGCCTCGAGTTGTGTAACCTGACCTCCGAGAAGACCATCCAGGAAGTTCAGGTGGGAAGGTCTCACGTGTCAAAGCGTGCTCAGCTTAAATGTTGCAGTTCTCCGGCCTCCGCGTCCTTCACGTCTTCACGTCCTCCCTCCCTGTATCTCTTCATTATGCATGTTTATTCTGGGGGCGGCTGCCGTTCAGGCGGCTCTGTCTCATTCCATGGAGCTGTTCGCTGATATGGATGGCGCGGTGGTGCCTGTCCGCGTGAAGGCCATCCGAAAATCAGCGTCCGCCACCACGGCGCGGTGGGCGGAGGGCAAGTCCAAAGGTGAGCACGAGCACCACGCGGTCGGTGGGGGTCGGCGACGTTTCTGGAACTCAGGTCGTAATTTTTTCTTTACACAAACGTTTGTTTAAATTTCACCTAAACAAAATATCCGAAGCTATACATCTGGGCTACCTGGACTGCCTCTCTGGGCAACCTCTGGGCTACCTCTCTGGGTTATTCGTAGAACCAAGGGGATCAATGCGGGTGACGGCGACACTGCACTGCACTGTCACACGCGAACAGGCGCGGATCCAGGGCATAGAACAGAACGCCTGATGGGTAGGCCGGAAGCACGACTTTGCCCTCGGAAGTGTGGTGCTCTTTTTCCTGAACACCGGTCCGACTGTACCTTTTTACCCAAACGCGGCAGGATAATGGTACCATACTCACTACATTCGGGCAATACGTGTCTTCATGTGCAGACTTCAGCCAGCTCGTTGTGCCGATCCCATCCCCCGGACAGCCGGCCGGCTCCCGCACAGCTCCCTTCTCGGCACCCACCCTGTCCAACCTCCCGCCCCGGGAGCCGGTTTGGGCCAGGTCGGCGTCGTCGGCGCCCGACCCGCAAAACAACCGGCAGGCCGCTGGGGTCGGCGACGCGGAGAAGCCGAAGGGTGGCGACGAGCTGCTCAAGAAGGTGGAGTCATCCCTTCTCGGACCGAGTGGGGAGCTCGGCGACGCTCCTCCGCATGGGATCCACTCCGGCGTCATTGGCAGTCCTTGCGCGCTGCGACCCTCGGAGCCCCGACCACGGCACAGGCCCCTCACCAAGAGAACGACGGGGTCCACGTCGTCGGGTGGCCCACCCATGGAGTCTTGGACACTCGCGAGCAAGCGCTTTGCGTATTTGGCTGTTTTTCTCGCCGTGCCTCTGCTGACCCTGTCCACCCTGCTGTTGCGGATACACTGTGATCCGACCCCCATCGTGGACACGGACGGACCCAGCGAAGGCCCCGACGACTTCTTGTCAGATTACTCCGGCATTGAGAGCTCCGTATACTAGGGCGAGTAGGTAAATGGGAAACCAAAATTGAAACGACAAAAATAAGTTCTAAATGTAGATTTATTTTATTTGTTTAACGTGTCTCTTACTGTCATGCGCGCGTCTTATTGTACATAAATACCCGTTTTAATTGCTTTTGGCTTCCTCGCTCGTCCCGAGGCCGTTTCGCTTCACTCCACAACTTCCACCAGAACGCTGCCCGTCACGTTGATGAGCTCTCTTGCGCTGAACGCCGCTACTAGTTTCAGACTGCCGGCCCGTTGTGGCCAAATCCTCTGCTCGATGCGTAGCGTCTCTCCGGGCATCACGTCCCTAAATTAATTAATTGTCAGTTGCTTTTGAAACGACCCAGAGGCAGCAGTTATCAACTGGTGCAGAATAAGTACCCCCCGCCCCGCTGCCACGCCAGAGTGGGGCGAGGAGGTCGTGGTCGAACGAGGCCGACCTGGAGTACCTACCTGTAAGTGAGGACTGAGTTTCGGACGAGGCCAGGACCCTCGGACCTCAGAGAACAGTCGGTGAGCGGGAGCTGAAGTGGGTTTTGGAATTCAAACACGACCGAGCAGGACTCGCCTACCGTCGGCTGGTCTAGGACCTGAAACAACACGGATTGTAGTTTTCAATTAAGCCTCTCCTCTGCCCCATCACCCGCGGCCAGTCCAGGTGCCCCTACCTAGTTATGGCGTAATAAAATCACAGAAAGCAAAGAAAATTCCCCCTTTTTCCAGACCTACCGTTATATTAAGAGTCGGTACAGTGATCTGGAAGTCGTCCTCAGCGGCCCACGTCTGTTTGGTGCCGTCCACGCTCGCCAGCGCAAAGATCTTCATGTTGTTGTACTCGACCATCTTGTCGATGTACTCCTCGGCCTCCACGGTCAGTCGCAGCACGTCGCCTGCACCAGAGACACACGAGTTACTCCTCGTCGCCTTACACTCACCGCCTCGTTAGCCTCGCACTCGGGCGCCTGCTCACTTGCGTACGGCTGGACGAGGAAGTCGCCGCTGGCCTTCTTGACGATGTGCGCCTTGACGCCGGTGTAGTAGACGGACCCGGCGGACAGCGCGGCGCGCACCAGCCGCTCCTGCCCCGAACGGTTCTGCGGGACGAATGCGACAAACGTGAGAATGAACGGCTCGTCAGTGCATGCATGTTATAATTTTATGTTTCTGTTTTTTCCATTTTTTTCACACCGCACCGACAAAGCGGTGGACAATTTTATTTAGTCGTGCTGAACGCGAATCACGGGCCTTTTATCACATCAATCCGAAACCGCTCTCGTTTCCGCCGCGCCATTGTGTAACCCTTTCACCCGGGAAGGGGAAAGAAAGAAGGAAAAAAAAAACATATCAAAACACCACCCTATTTCCTTTTCTTCTTTACATCTCCTCTATCCTCCAGCCACAGGAATCACGCGTGGCGAGTTTGTGGGGGTGCTAGAAAAGAAGATTGTCGAAATGCGATCTTGGCAGATGGAGGAGCCTGCTTTGATCTTGACCAGTACGAGTGCGAAGCGGAGACGCGCCAGGAAGAGCGGCCAATAAAGAAAAGTGCCCTGGCAACCGACCCCTCCAGACCGGGCTGCGTATACGGTGTGCTCCTCTCTCTTTCTCTCGCTCCACCCTGGCGTGCATTTCAGAGCGAGAGAGGGAGAGAGAGAGGGCCGCAGCTTCCGGGGGCGGCACGCTGGACCAAGGCGATCGTCCGCACCATCATCTCTCTTTCTGAAGGCGGCCCCCCATTCTTCTCGCGGTCACGCAAGCACGCGATAAGCGGAGTACAAAAAGCATCGGGCCCCATAAAGTAATGCTTTTACCCGAGTTAACTCAAACCAGAGCGGCAGTGGTTCATTATTTATCTTGTAGCAGCACGACTCAGGAAAAAAACATTTCACAGTAGTTTATGGTGGGCAAGAACCCGGCAGCGTTACCGCACCTCAATGTGGACCTCCACGGCGAAGGGCTCCCCGATCTGGATCTTGTCGATGTCGTTCAAGGTGAAGGACACGTCGTCGTACTCGGGGGGAGGGACGTCGTAGAAGCGCTTGGCGCGCGCGCTGCCCCTCACCGCGTTGAGCAGCGAAATGCGCTCCATGTTCGTCCCTGCAGAAGGAGGAGATGAGCGTGAGGCACCATCAATGAGGAAGGTTCAACAGAGCCATTAGGAGATGGGTCGTGACGGATACCTTCGGGTGCTTTGTACAGGTCGATGATGTCGTCGCAGTCGTCGTCGCCAACGTGGTCGAAGATGAAAGGCGTCTTGGTCAGGATGCGGCGGCCGATGCTGCAGAGTTGTAGAGAGGGGGTCAAATCACTCCGCAAAGGTCACTAGTAGGTTTCGCTGAATCGAAAATGAAAAGTTGAAAGAAGTAAGTAAAGGAGTGGCAAACCGCGGAGCCGGAACCAGCAGACATAACTTAAATTCCGATCGAAGTAGGAATTACTAGTTTGTTAAATTTTGCGCGACTCATCACAAATACAATTGTGTACTAGTTTATCCGGCTCCGCTTTGTCACTTATTTTTATCTCCTCCCTGTCCATTTTCGATTCAGCGAAACACCCTTGTGTCTGATAAAACCGTGAGAGTGGCGTCCGTCCTCCCAAACAATGCTGCTGGCATTTTTTTCACTTTTATCAAATTATCCTGTCGGCCCAAGTAAAACTGTCGCGAGCTACCCCTTTCGCTCGTCCTTGCCGTTGCCATGGGTCATGCCGCTGCTATGTCGTATGTCGCAGAAGCACTTTTTTCTTACTCTTCTCCTCCCTCACTCCCCCCCGTTTTGTTTTTCCTCTCGTTTTCTCGTCTTGTTTCTCTCATGTTTCCCTTTCTTCTGGACGCATTTTCTTTCACCCTTGCGGCGGCGTCGCAGAGCTGTTTGTACTCACTGGTACTTGTTGGAGTCGATGCGGGTGAAGCCGAGGTCGCTCGAGGGGTCCTCGATCCAGCGGATAACGTCTGCGTTGACCGACGCCAGCATGAAGGGTACGTCGTACTTGAGCCCCACCTCACCTCGCCGGATGGCCTCAAGAGACGCGGGGCCGCACTGGTAGAAGCCTGCACGAGGTAAATAAAAACATCATTCCCGGTGAAAAAGTATTTTTTCAAACTATATGAGATAGCAGAAGGAAAATGCAGCCGCATATAGTTCTCAGATTTAAATAACGCGCCGCCGCTCTGCTCTTGATGTGAGCCGTCATGAATAAAATGAAATGAGCGAGTCGACGCGCGTGGCAGAGGTTGGCAGTGCTCGCCCGCCCCGCCTGCTGCCGCCCCCCCACACATAACGCACTCACTATCAGACGTCTCCTGAGGGGTGGCGTCGCAGGCCTGCCAGCCGCCGTATCCGCTGGGGAGGTCGGGACGCGCCATCCAGACGTCAGTCCAGACGTGATAGTTCCAGATGGAATCTTTGCCGCCGCTCGGGTTGAGCGGGTCCCACGGCAGCTCGTCGCGCTCGTCCGAGTAGAAGCGGTCCACCGATAGCGACGAGTTGGCGTCGTGCGCCGACACGAGGCAGGACACGACGCGCGCCGGCAGCCCCAGGACGCGGCACACTGCAAAAGCAGATATCATCAGATTTGGATTTCCTCTGTGAAAAATAATATCCTCTTAAATTTGCAGCATTTATTGTAATTTTTATTGACAAAACATGTTGTAAATGCCCTAAAGCCTATTCTTGCTTGTCGATCAATTCCACGTCGCTACAGTGTGGTTTTAAATTTTCTAAATTTAAAAGTTCTTTTACAACGCACGCAAATCATGGAAAATTTTCCCGCAAACCTGCCACGATTATATTTTTACGGTGTTTTACGGACATTATTTTGCGGGCCCCGACACTTTCTCGGAGCTCAAAGAATAGCCGGAGTTCGAACAGTCGAATTCGACTTCATACTTACGCGTACAGAGTACCCCGGCGAAGATCCAGCACTGGCCGTACCTCACGGAGACGCCCGTATTCAGGTACTCCTCCAGGATGGCGACCGAGCCCGTCCAGCAGGACGGCGCCGTGCCGTCCTCGTACTGGCCGTCCCACCGGCCGATGAGGACGCCGCCATCGTCGTTGGCGTTAACCTAGAAGCGTTTGGTATATAACTAAAAGTGTTGTAACGTGGGTGATCCCTAACCAGTGATACTTTGGTGCGAATAAAAAACAAACCAGCTTCGTAAGCGCCCTGGACATGCGCACGGGGTCCCCGCGCTCCGAGTGTGGGATCCCGGTGCGCTCCAGCACCATCAGGGCGGCCGGAAGCACCCGCTCGTCGAACTGACCGAACACCCACTCGCGGCCCTTGGTGAATCCCATGGGCCCGACCCACACCTTGCCGACGTCGTTGAGCACGAACTCGTCCAGGAGCGCCGTCTCCTCCATGTACACCGAGTCGTCTGGAAAACAAATGTACATAATCACAATGACTCAATAAAGAATTCCGGTAAAGCTGAAATGCAGAAGAATGCGGGGAAGAAGAAAACGGACATCTTTATGCTTTAGCATGGTGACTTCCGTTTTCTTTTTCCCTGCATTATTCTGTATCTCAGCTTTACCGGAATGCTTTATTGTTGTCAAATGTTGTTAAATAATGTAAGTGATAACGAAAATTTCCCCGAATATTTTCCTAGTATATTTTCCCACTTTGAATTTCATTTCGGACTCACGCTTTTCCCAAGGGTTGAAGAGCAGGCTCACGGGCACGGGGTGCTGGTAGGGGAAGGCGTAGGCCGGGCCGGCGTCCGGCGCGCCCAGCGCGGCGCCGTCGATCGTTTCCACAATCACTTGCCATTCACCGACGGGGGCATCCGCGGGGCTGCGGACCTGCGGGGCGGACGGAGCAAGGCAAGGGGAGGGGCTGACAAACTTCATGGACGGCCAACTTTGTTCGGATTATTTGGCAGACAGCAACGACCCTTTCGGAATGGCCGCTCTGTTTGGCCATGGCACTTTTGCTGGTGGTCTTATTAGTATTCCTCGCCTTATTATTTTAAACGCGGCGGAGGGACTATAGGAGTGAGGGGAGGCACGCGGCCCGGGGAGGGGGCAGAAACGGAAAACAATTCCGGACCAAAGTACGCCAATGAACTCACGCTGCTGCTGATTTCCGCCTCCCGCTTCCGATGTTTGTCTTCCATTTTCGCGATTGGCCATATTTTATTTTGCTTTCTCGTGCGCTTTGTTTTTAAATGATTCCTTTTCTTTTATTCTAGCGACTTACCTCCACGGTGATGGTGTTGACGTCCATCGCGGTGATCCTGCTCTCCCACTTGTAGGCGTGGTCGTCGAACTCCACGCCGTCGGCCTGCCAGGGCGCCAGCCGCATCCTGCCCAGGGTGTCCCGCATGGCATGGGGCTCGGGGCCTGTCAACAGGAGCGCGCCGTAAGTTTTCCAGTCTGTGTTGGCCACCTTTTGTCTTCCGCACTCTGGGCCCCTCTTAATGAGGCAGAAACAGTGTCATGTTGTCGTCGAGTGGATATCGATTACGAGACGACGGGCCGACGACAACGGGCCGACCCCCCCGGGATTGTTTCCATCCTCTCCCGCCACGCGCTCTAAAAACGAAAGGCGAAGGGATGACGGTGAGAGGGGAGGGTGAGGGTGGGAATTGAGGGAGGGGGGGGGGCTGAGTGGATTGTAGAGACAGACGGGGGCAAATACTGACAGAAAGATGATCAGACTTCCCGTGCTTTCGCGTGCGGGGGTGGGTGGTCGCAAGAGGGTTAGGGGTGTAAGGAGGGTGGGAAAGAGAGGTGGGGGGAGGGGGGAGGTAAGTCGGCATCGGAGACAGAAGGGCGGAAGGAGAATTATTGGCGGAGAGCGGGAAAGGGAGAGAGGGGGGCGTACAGCTGGAGCTGGTTGGGCCGCGGTTAGCCACTTTTGTGATGGTGCGACCCCCTTTCCCCCTGCGCCTCCCCGCTTTCTCCTCCCCCTTTCAGTTTGTGTTCCATTCAAAATGAGATCGTAAAAGCGACCAAGCGGCTTCCTGTATTTTTTATGTATACATAATAAAGCGTTGATGTACACGCCGCGTCCATCCCGCCGGCGAGCGCCGCGCGCGACGCAGCGGGACGCCGAGAAAAATGGACTTTTGACTTTTTTTTGGAACAGTGCGGGGGTCAGGGCGGGCGGGTACCTCCCCGCCCTTCTGAAACCTCTGGCCAGCCCTTTGTGCCGCAACGGCGGGGGGTCAGCCCCGACCGCACTACAGGGGCGTGCCTGTGACCCCCCTCCCCTTCCTAGCCGCACCCGCACCCGCCCCTACGCCCCGGCGGCACGCATTAGCCACGGGCTGTCGAGGACACCGGCGGCGCGGACCTAGTGTGCCACCTCAGTCCTGCCTCCTTGACGTACCGACCGAGGCCCCCATGCCCTGGCCGAGCACAGGGTGGAGCAGCGGTGGTAGGGGGTGCCGCCCGAGGCGACCCTCACCACCCCGCAGCTACTCTCCGCCGCAGAGGCTCAAGCATTAACTTTTCACATTTCGCCCGTTGGCGTCATCCCGTTATGCCCGGCCGGCAGTCGCATCGTTGATGATTGCGCGGCCCCGTGCCCACCAGCCCCAACCGCCCTGGCCGCCACGCCCGCCCGCGTTTTTACGGCCCTTGTTTGCGACGTCCTGACGAGCTCGTCGCCGCCACCAGCGCGGCGCACGAGATGAGGCTGGCGTCAGCGGGCGTCGCAGCGGGGGGCGCTCCGCTTCGACCTTCCTGCATACATAGATAGTTTGCCCGGCCTGACAGTCTTCAGAGACCTTCAAAACATGCCGCTTTAAATATATATGAGTTTTTGTTGTTTTCCACGGCCTCCGTTTCCCTGCTAACAACCCGCTCCGCGCGCTTTCTTGCCAGCCTCCTACCCCTACTGCTTGCTGGGTGCTCTCCTCCCCGAGCTGCTCCTACCCGTTTCCCGACCCGCAGTCAGCGCAGCGCAGGCACTCTGCAGCGGTGTCCCGCCCCCGACTCGCCGCCGCCCCGCGCCCCGCAACCCCACGCCACGGCGGCGTCGAACTTTGAGCGGCGGTGCTCGACGACTTAGCAAAGTAATTTCGGTTCGCAGATATAGCTGTAAGCTAAGGACGCAAATTTGAGCGGTTCCACCCTGCCGTGCCCACCAGGCCCTGCCCGGCAACCCGCCTCCCCCTCGCCCCCTCCTCCCCACCCCGCCTCGTACGGCGCACCTTATTGGAGCATTTGACGGCAGGGGTCAGATTCATTTCACTTCATGTTCGCCAGCAGTGAGAAGGGGATGGAAAGAAAGTTACAGGGGGGAGGGGTGGTGGTGGTGGAAGCGAGCAAGGTACCTACCTTATTATCGCCCTGAAAGCGGGAACGACGGGCGAAGGGGAGCGCCGTGGAGGACGGGCCAAAGAGACGGGGCTGGGGGGACGTCGGGATACATCCAGTTTCATTCAGTTTACGTCTGTGAGCGAGGCCTGCTGCGCTTGGCTACGCCAAGCCGCCAAGCGCCGCTCCGTCCCGTCATCCTCGACCAACGAACCCCCCCAACCGCCAGCCCCGTCTCGCTCCCCCCGTAAGTCGGAGACTTGACATCATTTTATTGCCAACTGCAAAGCCACTGCCAGCCCCCATACCGCCCACGCCCACCGCCTCTCCCCCTTCTTTCCCGCCCTGGACGCCGAAAACCCATCCCAGCCCGTCTCCCCACTTCCGCAGCTCCAACGTGGCATGTGGCATGCTTCCATGTAATATTCCTCTGCGCTTGACAGTCATACTCTCTTTGCAGCGAACCTCCTTGAGCCGCGCCTGCGCGCCCGCCGCACCCCCTGGGCGCTGGGCCCGTGTCGTACCCTCGTACCCCTTAGTTTACACCCCAACCCCCCTCCTCTCCGTGATACATGTTGGTCGTGACGTCCAGCCTGGTACGACGGCACGGGGCCCTTACCCCTTGCTCACCCCTGAACCCCCCGCCCGCTACTCTCTTTCTCCGTCTTTAAGGCCCCCTATCATCCCTTTCGCCGTCCTTTCTACCCCGCCCTCTCTGACACCCCCCACTCCCCTTTCCCCGCGCAAGAAGACTCGTGAGGAGGAACAGCACCCCAGAGTGTCTGCGTCCTTGTCGCACCCGTTGAACAGAGGGGGACACGGCGCGCACACAACCCCCAGCGAGGGGCCCGAGCGGGTTGTGCCCCCGGCCCGGGTCACAGCGGCGGCCCCCTGCACCACCGCCCCACCCTGCCACGCCCCGCCACGCCCCGCCGCGCGTCGCTCGGTCTCAGAGGGCGCATTCCGACCCATCCCCATTTCACATGACAACTTGGCGTTTTGAATACAACTGCCCATCGCTTTTATACACGGGGTGGTCCGAAGGGGCCGAAGGGCAGTGGGCCAGCAGGCGGGCGGGCGGCGGCGGCCCTCCGTCGTCGTTCCGCAAGCACTTCATTCCCACCGCCGTCCTCGTCCCGTCCGGTTGTCAGGCGAGCCCGCCGCGCCCCTCCCCGCCCCTCCCCTCCCCGGCAGAGCAGCGCTGAAAGGCGCTCTGATTGAGAGGAAGGGAGAGCGGGCCGCCGCCGGCTGGGTAGACAACCCACCGCGCGCCGCCGGCTCGGTTGCATACCTCGTAGGCGCCGCGCCGCTCGCCGCATCCACGTGTCTGCCGCCGCATTTCCCCTCTTTCTTCTCATGTTTTTATTTTAAAGAAGACACCGTCATTCACTTTATATAGCGTTGCGCGGCGCTCTCTGCCCGCGGTGGCGGATGCAGCCGGTGGGATGATATTGGCCCTGCTGTCAAGAGCAACGGGACGCGGCTGAACGAGGTGACACATCTGGTCATGAGAGCGACCGGGGCGGGGCGGGCCGATGCGCTTGCATGCCGTCATGTCGTTGTGCACCGAGGAGGGTGGGTGGTGGGTGGTGGTGGAAATGGGGGCGATGCAGCTATAGCTGGTTGACGTTAACGAAGCGGAGGGGGGTAGTAGGGGGACGGGGACCCCCACCTCGTGCACGAGGCGGTATCTGCTGTTCTCCGTCCAGCAGCAGTTACAAATCCTATAAAATACTGCTCGCTCGCGCTGCGTTCGTATCGTCCGTCCTCTCCATCTCCCTTCTCCGTCTGTCCGCCCCGATGTCGCCGACGCACTCTCTCCCTCCCGCTCTCCCGCCCCGCCCGCTCTCCCGTTGCTGCCACCAGAGGGACGGGCGCCAAAACGCGCGGAGAGAAATCACACACACCTCGTCTGCTCCACTGAGAGATATCGGAGACAAAAGGGAAGGAATCATGCCGGACACTCCGCTCTCACCCCTACCTCTGCCAACCACCCCGACACCCCCTCTACTTTTGACCTTTTCTATTCTTTTCTCCTTGCTCGACCACTTCGAGCAGGCTTTTCCTCGGCGAACACCTCTTCCTTACCGAGCGTGAAGATGAGGGTGACGACGTCCTCTGGGGCCAAGTCCCTGTTGAACCGGATGGCGAGGAAAAACGGCTGCCCCCGTCGAAGCACGGCCCTGGGGACCTCCGCGTGCACCTGGGTAGTAAAGCAAACGGGTTATGGGTGCAAGCGGATAGGGAGAGGGGAGACTACAAGAGAAAGGCTAGAAATAGAGAATGGCAAGCGGGGGAAAATAGAGAAGCTGTGCGTTGTTCGCACGGCTCGCTCTCACCTGCTCGAACATGACGGTGCGGTGCTCCTCCGCGTTCTGCCTCTCGTACAGGTGCACGTTCTCCACTTGCAGCTCCATGGCGGATGCGATCTGTAAAACCAGAAGACGACGCAGCTTTAGTGTTGGGCATAAACGGGCAGCTAGCCGCTCGATAAGGATGAATAGCCATCCGAAAGTTTTACTTTTCGCGAAACTTTTCTGGGACGCATAAGGAGTTTGGTTGAAGAAGGGGGGGGGGGGTCTGCTTGCGCAGGATGGCGCGGAAGGTCTCGAAGGTCACGCGGGTGGTGGTGGCTGGGCGGCCTCCGCGTCCGGCGGCGGCGTCCGCGCGCTCCAAGAATAGGGTCAAGTTCAGTATAGACAGGCGCTCAAATTTGTCTTACTTGTCGCCCCGCTCCGCGCCGCTGCGCGCTCCCGTCGGGCACGGCCACGGCGTGGCGTTATAAATCCGCGAGGGGCTTTGCACCCCCTCTCCCCCCGTCTCCTCTCCCAACTCCCTCCCTCCCACAGCTCGCTCTCCCCCGATGCTGCTCCGTGCGAGATGAATCGTTGCCGGACGGCGATAAATGTCAAGCCAAGGTCAGGCATTGTCTCTCGCGGGGGTCGGCTCCCGGCGGGGGTGGACCCTGCTCCCAGCAGAGGCGGACGGGGACCTCCCCGGACGGACGGACGGGCAGACGGACTTTACGGACGGACCTACGGACGGACGGACGGACGGACGGCGGCGCCCACTCTGGCTGCGCCTCTGGGCTGCGCCCCGCCTATAGTCGGTCGCGGTTAATGTCGTCCCGGACGCGACCGGAGTCCACCGCAGCAGAGCGAGAGCCAGGGCCGACCGGAGGGTCATTCCGTCCGTAATGGCGAGCCGTGTAGCCAGCGCGGCGAGCGCGGCGCGGGGAAGTACCGCGCCACTCCACGAGCCGCCACCTGCACTCAGCCCCCTCCCCCCACCCCCCTTTCCACCTCGGGATTAGCAACGCCGCCCGGGCCGCCCATGGAGGACAATGAGAGAAAGGAAAGGGTAGCGCCGCGCACCGCACCGCGGCAAATGCCATTAGGTGATATTTGTTTGTCAGAGACAGAGCAAAGGCCAGCGACATTTATATGACCGTGTCAAAAGGCAACCCCCCCTGCTCGACGCGCGAAGCGACCCCCCACCCCCTTCCCTCTCTCCCCGTACACCCTTACACATCCTATACGCCCCTGTCCCTCTCGACGAGGTGCTGTGTCCGACTCCACCCACCCACCCCTCCCGACCCGAGGGTATCCCCCGCGCGGCGGGTCACGCCCCCACCCCCCTCTGCCCCCTTTCATCCGCGCACTTGTGAGCGGCGCTGCCGGGGCGGGCCGGGTGTAGCGGATGTACATCTCACCATACATCATTGCTGATCTACATTTTAATTATGGCCTTATTTACATCTTTTGTGTGCATATCATTTCTGTGTTGTGAAAGCCAACTGTGTGTGTGTGTGAGTGTGTGTGTGTGTGTGTGTGTGTGTTTGTGTGTGTGCGCGCGCGCGCGCGCGCGCGCGCTCTCGGGCCCGTAATTCGTCGAGCACCGATCTACAAAATGTGCGGCGCGCGAGGATCTCTATTTATCTGTCTCTATCTCACTCCGTCAGCAACGAGCGGTCCTCGCACACACGCGTCGCCCTGCCAGCGCAGCGGGGGGTCGAAAAACATTCAGGGCTTTTTGAATGGCCACTCTCTCCATCTCTATCTCTCTCGTTCACCCTCTCTCTCCCTCACTCCACCTCGCTCTCCCGCTCTTTCCTAGGCCTTCCAGACGATCGGCCGACTCCCCACCACCCCCGGGCCCCCGAAGCCATCCCCCGCTGTTCCGTTTATATATCTATCTATATGACACGGGACAATATGTCATGACAGCCGAAACAATTAATTTTCCCTCCTCCGCCTACAAGAGAGGCAACAGAAGAGGCGTATATGTAGGGATACGACGAAAAGGAAGAGCGACCCCGTTTCCGTCTCGTCTGCACGTGCCAGAATCGTGTGTGTGTGTATATATACCCCCCCCTCCTCTGCTCGATCACCCCTCCGCCGTTTTATTTCTTCTCGCTTTCATATCGGATCATCCAGGCTGGCTCACGGACCCCCGACTATCTCGCACAGTTATAGTAGTAGTGTACCGGCACGCGGGCGTGCTGGCAGGTTTGCCTACCGCCACTAAACACGGCGCCTTATGGCCCCGGGGGGTAACCCGCCCACACCGCTCACACGCGTGCCTGCGGTACAGAGCACAGTTGTAAACAAAATTAATGATAGGAGTTCGTTCGTATGCCACCCACGTATATACAGGTTTTCTAGGAAGGAACAATTTTGTTGATTCGCGAAACAACAACTGTCCCGACGCGCGTCAAATTCTCTTTGAAATGCCATGTCGCGGCACAACCAACCAGCAGTGTCCGTCGTGTTCTTGTCAACGACAGAAACTACGTACCATACGCTGCGAGCTGGTTCTGCATAATAGAGGGGGACAAAAGGTCACAATCGCAACAGCAACACGAGGCTTTACGTATTGGTATTTGGAGCGTGTATGTTCAAGCATGGAATCTACTGCCACAACCATTTGTGTCCGTGTGTGAGCGTGCCTTTTCCCTGCCGATCAGGACACCCCGCTCCCCTTCCCCTTCCCCCCTGGCTCTCAGTGCCCAGCCAATACTCACGGCCCCGGTGTCGTCGGGCACCGTGCACTTCCATGTCCTTTCACCGCTGTCATGCCCCTCGCCGTCCCTCTCATCCTCACCTGGGCACTTCTCTCTAGCTGGCGCGCTAGCGCGCTGCTAGCTCTGCTGCGCAGGCCCCCTTTCCACCTGCTTGCCTTCGACTAGACCCCCCCACCCATTCTCCGGGCCTGTCCACTCAACTTTTCACCTGTCGCCAGAGCCACTTTTGAGCCCGCCCTCCCCTTGCCGCCCGCTCCACCCCGCGGCCGTCCGCCCTCTCGCTGACTTATTTCGACCCCGCCGTCCACTTTGTGCGGTGTGTGCTGCTGCTGCTGCTGCTGCTGCTGCTGCTGCTGCTGCTGGCACCGTCGAGCTGTCACATCCCCAATAAAAGGTTTTAAGAGGTTTTGCGTGGGTTGTTATTCTTGGCGTGTTACGTCACGCCCGCTTAATACTCGGCGTCTGCAACCGCTCTGCCCTGCATACGGCCAATACTTTTCCTAAACTTTGGCCCTGGACATGCTCCAAGTTATTGGGGGGATTCTTGTGAGATTCTAAAACACCTGCACCGCAGGTACCCCAGTTTATACAGATGGGAAGGAGGGGGGGGGGAAGAGCACAGGTGGAACCGGTAAATCACATTGCCGGGGCCGGCCGGGCAGGGTATACTCGGGAATTCGTGAAAGACTCGGACCCAGATCCCCAATTCTAGAGCTCAGTTATAGGAAGGTGGGTATGGGTTGAGGGGTATCTTACTTCCTACAATCAGTGTACGCTCTCTCCTCCAATCACTTTAGAATCACAGTCTTTCACACATTTTCCAGACAAAATCCCCCCCCCCCCCCCCCCCCCGAAAAAAACTCTACAGAAACGATCTTTTTCATCAGCAATTCAGAAAATTTGTTCCAATCACCAACGAGTGTACGCTCATTTTCGAAGTGAGGTACGGGTACGTGGGACTTGAAAGCGGATGACTCGAATAAGGCGTCTCGTCTCCCTTTGGATAAACAGGACTTCCTCCTACGGGGAGAAAGCCCCGGGAGACCAGAGGCTGCGGTGCGGACACAGAGACGTCTAAAGGCAGCCACCTTGTAGGGCCAAAGGCGGCCAAAGGCAAGTGCCCAGCAGGGGGGTGGGCGAGAGGACTGCTGCGGGGAGGAGAGGGTGGTTCGGACGGACGGGGCCCCTCTCCCTTCTGCTCCAAATCCTGGCTTTATCCCCCCGGCCAGTCTATCCCCCCTCTATCTCCTTGCGACCCGGGCGACCACCACGCCCCGCCACCGTCACCGCCCTTCAAAAGCTATCTATCAATCTATTAGATGGTGGTCAGCTCAGCGGACGCTAAATTGGCCGCGCTCCCGAACACGGGGGTCCTGCCCCGCCCCGCCCGGCCCGGGTCCCTGGCGGGGTGGTCCGGCGATAGCCTCACAGGGCCGGCCCGATATCGGGTGGACCAGAAATCATAGCGGCGCGTAGGCGGGCCGGCGGGCGGCCGGTTTAATTCCTCGCGTTTCCGCAGCGAAGCAGGAACCGGAAGCCCTCCTTCTTCTTTCCCTGCTCGCGCCGTAAGTCGAGTTGACCTGTGACCCGGTGGGACGGCGACGAGGCTGTGGGGGGCGCGGGGTGCGCG